GGGCCACGTGATCGCTCAGGGCCAGGTCGCACCTGTCGCCGCAAAGGTGGAAGCTGTTCTGCAGTATCCCGCGCCCGTCGACCGGAAGGGCTTGATGCGCTTCATGGGGATGGTCGGCTACTACAGAAGGTTCTGTAAGAACTTCTCGCAGGTATCCGCACCTTTGACAGACTTGCTGAGTACGAAACGGACATTCAGGTGGTCAGATGATTGTCAGCAAGCCTTTGAAGACCTGAAGCGCCTCTTATGTACCGCCCCCGTCTTGCAAGTTCCTGACATAAGTATACCGTTTACGATACAGGTGGACGCCAGTGACAGTGGTGTGGGAGCGGTACTCTTACAGAGAAGCGGAAGTGAAGTGCTCCATCCAGTGTGTTATTTTTCTAATAAATACAAGTCTTATCAAAAGTCTTATGCCACCGTCGAAAAGGAGGCTTTAGGAATAGTGTTGGCCATTGAAAAGTTTAGAATTTATTTAACCAGTTCTATCCATCCAATTGAAATTCTCACTGATCATAATCCGTTAACGTTTATTGAAAATGTTAAGTTTAAAAACATGCGAGTGTTAAGGTGGGCGCTAACATTGCAGCCATTCAATATAAAAATTTTCCATATCAGTGGCAAACGAAATATCATTGCGGACGCACTCTCGAGATCGTAGGTGGTGTGGTCTGCACTCAGTGGCCGCTAACTCGACACTGCGAAGGACAGAGGACAGGAGTATGCTACCGTCGCCCGTCTAGTGAAACAAGCTGTTACGTTCTAAATAGTTAGATAGTTAAACTTTTTCCCGTGCGGTAAAAAAGTTTTTTTTTCTTGCGGGGAGGAGTATTACAGTAAAGGTAATCATTATATAATTAGCACTACTGTTGACTACGCTAACAAGGCAGTTCGAGCATTAGCGTTCGTCGCACCCCCCCCCCCCCTTCACCGTCTTGCCTTGAGTTCGTGGGGGGTCTTGCTCAGTCACTCCTCCTCTGCCATGGGCCTGGGCAAGATCTTGCTGCCTTTTGTTTTTGTTAAATGGGTTCGTAATTTCTTTGATAGGATTAGGGCGATATCTTATATTTTAGTAAGATATCGCATAGGCAGGACTTTCTTTGATTTTGTTTCGTGTATTTTGTTTTGTGTTGGTGAAAGTATAAATAAAAGTAATTTGTAATTAAGTGACTTTTACATATTTTCCAAATCTTTGACTATTAGTCAATAATAAACGACTGGTAAATGATAATGAAATAGTAATATATTTACTATGAAAGCATTACAATATCATAATGAAAGTAATTTATATATAAATGATAGTACATTGAAACATGATAAATGAATGACTGAATTAACGTAATAAGCTAGCGAATACTTCAACAAGACAGATATTGTTACGTGGTATTAGCCTTTCAAAATCAGGCCGCATTTTGATCTTTCGTCTATGATTCGGGCTACCGCATTAGGGGAATTAGAGTACAGCGGAGCTGCTCTTCCCCTGAATTCTCCTAATGACATACCAGCCGTAACAGTATATATATACATATATAATATAAAATAATATATAATACAATTGTATATATAATATATGTAATATATAATTTATATACATATATATATGTATATATATGTCTATATATATATATATATATATATATATATATATATATGTATGTATGTATATAATACAATTGTATATATAATATATGTAATATATAACATATAATATAATATAATATGATATAACTGTATATATGATATAATATAACTGTATATATAATATATGTAATATATATATATATTGTATATATATATACAAAATCCTGTTACAGATTTTTTTCGTCTCTTAAATTCCGGATAGATGGAAATTTAATGTTGATTATTTTTCTGCCCAGTACGGCCGTTATAATGGTGAGCCTCAGGCAGTAGTCAGCATCGTAAAACATGTATAACTGGATTTCGTACATACACACATATCCACACAAATACACATATAAGCACAAACACAAACCTCTAACCTGCCTCTTCCACACACACACACCACCCTGCACACGCCACAGACAACGACGCAAACAAATTCAAACCTCTAACCCGCCTATTCCACACACGCACACAAACACCTTCATCCCACCCTATCCCCACTCAAAACTCACCTCCAGTAAAGGAACCCACAAACAGCTGGAATGCATGAGATCACCACCAGATACTGAAACCTCGGAATCAGCCATCCCGTAAGTGATGTCATACATATGCCGAAGGTCCAGGCTGCAAACGTGACGAGGGAACCTGTAGTGCGTTCTTCTGGAGCTAGGAACTCAAAACCTTTGATGAAGAAACATAAATTCATAGCATTAAGAATAGTTTTTATATATATATTTATATGGATAGGTAGAGAGAAGGAGCCTATACTAAGAATTTGGATAGATTTTCTACTGTGAGAACTCACGATTTAAAATGGGGGGAAGCTTAGCGAATATATAGTGTTTAACATATTCTTATTGATGGGTGTTTATGGATATATATGGATAGATAGATGGGACAAAGAACTCAACAAGTAGAGATGAGGAGGGAAAATGGGGGAATGTTTTGTGAATATACAACGTTAAGGATATTTTTACATACAGATTTATATAGATAGGGAAGAACTTAAAACCTAGAAACTCAAGACATTGGGATGATAAAGGAAAACATTAATATTTTACAGTTAGTAATAATATTAATAATGTTGATAATAATACGAATAATAATACAAATGATAGTAAAAGAATAACAATAATATCAATAATTACTATCATCATTATTGTCTTATCATTATTACGTTATTATTAACCCATTCGCGCCGGGCGTCACGTATACGTGACGGGCCCACTGTGAGTTTACTTGTTTGATTGTTTACAAACATAGATGGCTCCACTTGCACTTGTACTGCCTGTCTCGTCTGTTTACCCTTTTCTTTAATTTACGAAATTATTTTGCGTTATCTTATTTTGCTGTTACTAATGTTTATAACATTATAGTAATTATAATGTTTATAATAAAAATAGCCATCGATATTCATAGCACTAGTAAAAATACATTTTCCCGCCAAATGAAATAAGGTAAAGCAGAGCCATCTAGTGTAGAGAAATTTCATTAAAAAATATAAAAAATGAGCACAGCATTTCCCCCATTTTTTGTTCATTTTTACCCGGCGCGAATGGGTTAAAGTTATCATTTCGTTATTATTTGCATCACTGTTATTATCATCATCTTATCAATTATCATTATTATTATGAACCAGTAAGATTGCAATTAATATCATAATATTTTCATAATAATGTTTATCATTATCATAATTTCTATCATCATCACTCTCATGATCTCATCACTATTACCATCATTATTATCTTCCTCATTATCATTATTATTACTCTTGTTATCACGAATGAGAAATTGAAAACAAACATAACAAACATGAACTCGAGGGTTCTGTTCTTAACTTTCTTGGCAAAAAAAAAAAAAAAAAAAAAAAAAGATATTGTTACGTGGTATTAGCCTTTCAAAATCAGGCCGCATTTTGATTTTTCGTCTATGATTCGGGCTACCGCATTAGGGGAATTAGAGTACAGCGGAGCTGCTCTTCCCCTGAATTCTCCTAATGACATATCATTATTATTACTCTTGTTATCACGAATGAGAAATTGAAAACAAACATGAATTTGAGGGTTCTGTTCTTAACTTTCTTGGCAAAAAAAAAAAGTAAAAAGTTAGTGCACTTTCTCTCAATCTTGAGAGAAAGAAAATGAAAGTAAACGTTCAATTTAGAAATAAAACAAAAACGCCTAATTGTTTTGTAGAAAATCGAATCTTCAGGCAGTAGAAAAAAATAAAATGAAATAAAACATCTATTGTACAGAGAAGAGAAAGAACGAGAAGGTAAAAAAAAAAATACCAAAAGAAAGAAAGACATAAAAGAAAATTGGATAAATAAAGAAGATAAGAATGAAAGAAAGATGTAAGAACGAAATAAGAAAAGTAAAAGAAAGACTAAACGAAAGAAAACCACCTACCAGAGACATAAGACATCATATTGACCGTCTCAAATGCAAATCCTGCAAAGAACTTCAGGACGTAGACGATGCTATAATTGGACACCCACGCAATGGGGAAGGTGAAAACTGCGTGTATAGCAAGAGCCACGTAGAATATTAGCCGGCGCCCTGTACTGTGATAAATTACTTTATTAAACTACTGTAATAAATAATTGATTTTTTCGCTAATGTAGATGTATAGGAATCAATATAAGGTATGGTCGTGTTCACTACTTCGAGGATATATATATATTCTTGATAAAGTAACAGAAAATAGAACGTGCACTGTTCTTAAAAGTTACCATAACCGTAAAAAATATTAAATGAGAATCATCATGAAATACAACCTATCTGCAATCACCGGGAAGATCGCAGTTTTTAGTTGCCATTGTCTCCAGAAACTCGGACGTGTCGTGTTCCCAGCCTTGATCACAGGCTGCAGAGAGGGAGAAGCGTTTTAGAATATTTGAATCTTTTATCACTATCATGATCATTATTGCCATTATCATTATTGTCATTATCATTATCATCACCATTATCGTCAGCATGATCATCATCATAATCATCACCATTATTCTTGATTTAATCTTTAGCATATTTCAGAATATGGGAAATCATCAGATCTCGTCACTGCATCTGCTATGCATGTATGTAGACTGTATCAAGAGAGGACATGAAGCTAACAGAAAATGCCAATACCTTCCGTGATGTGGATAAGGAATGGTTCACCTGCTCCTTCCTCCAGCCACTCCACCTTATACCGGGAACAGCTTGAAAATTCGCCGGATTCTCTGTGGAACATATATTTAAGCAAATCTCTTGCCAATCAATTATATAACAAGTACATGCACACACATATATAGTTCATCTAAAATTGGGCATTCATTATTACAACCGATTACCAAACACCGGTTTAACTAACAACCCTCATTTAAAACCAACCTAGGTATAGTAAGGTTTTTCCATTCTTCTGGTAAGAGAGAAGTATTTTCAATGCCTGGGACGTGGCGCCAGTAGTCTGGCACTTTCAGCTGAAACAACAAGAGGTTGCCCTGGAAATCAAATTAATAAACGTATGAAACGATGAATAGGGACATTTGCAAGTAGATAGGAAAATCCCAAACAGGGTTCTTTTTAAACACAATATTTTTCATTACAAACATACCATGGCAAACCGGCATGTTATTATTTACATCCACGTATCGAATGATATATCCACGTGCAACTGTGTATTTGTGAAATGACAATAGTAATATTAGTAGTTGTTGCTGTAGTAATAGTAATCATAGTGCTGCTGACGATTATAATGATAGCAAAAAAAAATTATAGTAATTATGATGATGACAGGATTATGATGATAATAATGATAATATTAATAATAATAATATCAATGATAAGGCTATTACAACAATAATGATAGTAATAGTAATACTTCCACTAACAATAATGATAAAAATTATAGTAATAATAATTATGGTTATAATAATAATAGTAATAATAAGGATAATCATAATAATAATTATGATGATAAGAAAATGGTGATAATAATGATAAGGATAATAGAAATAATGACTTTGAATAACAATTCAGTAATAATGATGATGATAATAATAATAATAATTATCATTATTATTATTATTATACTGAATAATAATTAAGTAATAATAATGATGATGATGATGATAATGGTAACAATGATGATATCAATAATGATACTAGAAATAGTAACCTTAATAATAATAATGATAATGATAATAATAATTAGAATGGGAATATAATATATTAATAAACACTACAATGATAATGATAATAACAATAGTAATAATAACTGTAATAAGGATATTGATATTAAGGATACTGATGATAATAATGGTAATAATATAATAATAATAATAATATTAATATTAATAATCATAATGATAATAATAATAAAATAATTTTGATGATGCTGAGGATAATAGTAATAATGTTAATGGCAATGATAATAATAATAAAAATACTAACAATAATAATAATAATAATAATAATGAAAATAATTATGAGAATGATGTTAATGATATTAATTACAATAATAATAATAATAATGATAATAATAATAATAATAACAACTAATAATAACAGAAAAAAGCAATAACAATGAGAATTAATACAGCAATAAAAAACTAAAGTTATATATTAGCAATAACACAGAAACAAATCATATTGTGAAAAACAATTACCAGAGCGAAATCAAATGAAAATATGACCAATAGACGACACAAACAACAAAGTCAAATCTCTTTAGTTTATTTTTTCTTCCAACTCCATACATAAATATTTTCAAAAGGTAAGTTTCCGCCGAGATATGAAGGTTTACCAAATAAGAAAGTTTAAACAAGAAAATTTGAAGGAGCTAAGGGAAAATGTATGTATATAAATCATATATACATTCGGACACACACATATATATGTGTATATTTATATATATATGTGTGTGTTAGTGTGCGTGTGTGTGTGTATATATATATGGTGAGAAAGAGAGAGAAAGATGCATAAACGTGCATACACATACACAAAACACATATAAATATATAAGTATATATACATATATATGTATATGTATCTATATATATGTATATTCATATATACATATCTATGTACATATACATAAACATATATACACATTTATATGTTTATGTATATATATACATAAAGATATTTATACATCGATACATATTTTGTGTGTGTGTTTATTCGAGTGCATACATGTATGTATACACACACACACACACATATATATACCATATATATCATCTCTCTCTATATATGTGTGTGTGTGTGTGTTTGTTGTGTTTATTCTTGTTTTAGGGTAGATTGGAACACATAGTAACTGTTCAAAGAGTAGAAGGAAAAGTCGTAGTAGTAGTAGTAAAAGTAAAAATTGTAGCGGTAGTAATAGCAGTATTCTCTTTCTTTTCTTTTCTTTATTTTTTCTTCCTTTATTTTCTTGTAAAAAGCACTAAACCTATTTATAAAGTAGATTCGAAAGGACAGGACAATTGAAATTCCCTTTCTGTCATCCGACGTCACTGACACCATGTGAATCAAGCTCATCAGTGATACCATTGACTAAACTGAAAGGAGACACTGCCAACCGTATACATACTGACTCGTTATCATGCAGTTACAGGATCAAAAAAAAAAATACGCACAAGCCTGATCGTACACGCAAACAGATTCACTCCCATCTTCGCAACACCCTTGCCACTCATGAATCAACAAGAACTCACCGTGAAGCCAATGAAGAAACTGATGGGTCCGACGACCCCAAACACAAGCCACCGTTGGTAAGGTCCGTGACTCCCAACCAAGGTCATTAACTCGTCGAAGTCCTTCATTTTATATCTGGTCTGTGAATAGAAATGGAATCTTAAATAATGAGGGAAAATACGGGTAGAATGATACAGAATAACTCCACACACACATATACATACATGCACACACGCGCGCGCGCACGCACACACAACATATATATGACTGCCGCGATGGTCCAGTGGTTAGAGCACTGGAGTCTGACCCTCGTGGTATTGATGGTATAAGTCATGAATATTGGTCTTGGTCCTCATTGCTAAATGCATTAAGAGCCGCCATCAGTGATTCCAGAGACTCAGATAGGATAGCAACATCGTCGGCAAAGTCAAGGTATGTGACCTTGATAATGCCCACTGTTGCTCCACACTGACTTTGGACAGTAACTCTGCCTATTATCCCGTCCATGCAGGTGTTGAAAAGTGTTGGTGCAAGGACACAGCCTTGCCTCACCCCTCATTAACAGGCCCCCACTACATTTTACAGCACTTTCAGTACCAGTATATAGGCTTGCTATTAGGCCAAAAATCTGTTGGAATACCCCTAAGACTCAGAATCTCCCATAGCAATTCTCGATGCACTGAGCAAAACGCCTTCTAAAGCATGATGTAGGTTGCAAGCAACCAACGACTTAACTCACGACTGCGTTCCATAATTACTTGAAGTGCTAGGATACGGTCTATTGTGGACTTGCCAGGAGTGAATCCACACTGCTCCAGTCTCTTGTGCCTCAGTAGGTGGTCGCGGATAAGATTCAGAAGAATGGGGACGAATACCTTGCTTGGTATACTGAGCAGTGCAATGTCACGGTAGTTGCTACAGTCCCGACGTTCCCCTTCCTCAACAGGTCAGGGGTAATAGAACCAGAATACCAGATGGCAGTCAAGACTGCATGCAAGCCCCGTGCCTTAGGTTCATCCCCAGCCTTTAGCACTTCAACAGGCATATCACATACGCCTGCAGCTTTCCCACCCTTTAGCTTAGAAATCGCCATCCCAACCTCAGTTAGACTAGGAGGTTCCTCGCTGATGGGTGGGTCCGGCACAGGAATTGTGATACCACTTGCATTCAAACTAACTGTTAGAGGGTCCGCCTGGTACAGCTGTTCAAAAAACTCAGCCCAGTGTTCACGAACCCCATCATGGTCTGAAATGATCTGTTCATCCACTGAGCGGACTTAGAGTTCGGTTTTCTCAGGGCAACCTCCGCAGCAAGGTTCCTGGTGAACTGTTCCTTTTCTCTTCTCGACAGTGTCCGAGCCCTACGTACCAAGAAACAGCGCAAGTCCTGATTGCCATTCAGCCGAGACATGCCACACGCTTCAGTGGCTTCCAATGTCTCCCGGGAGAGGAAATTCTGCCTTGCCTTCAGGCGTTCGCCAATGGACTCTTGTGCTGCTTCGAGTGATTCGCGCTTGAAGGACTCCCACAGAGCAACTGGGTCCGTCAGGTTTTAAAGTTCTGTGAGTCGATCAGAGACTATATATATATACATATCTGTGTGTGCGTGTGTGCATGTACATATACATATATATATACATATGTATAAATGTATACATGTGCATTTATATATATAGATATATATGTACATACATATATCTGTGCTTGTATATATGTATATATAGATTTATATATAATATATATATAAATATATATATATTTATATGAATATAAATATATGTATATATATATTCATATATATATACATAGAGAGAGTGGGGAACAGAGAGAGAGAAGGAGGGCGGGAGAGACAGGCAAACACAGAGAGAGTAGGGAACAGAAAGAGAGGAGGGAGGGAGAGACAGGCAAGCAAAAACAGAGCGAGAAAGGGTAAAGCCATTCTCCCAGACACACAAATACACATAGATATATAGACGGACTAAAGGATAGGTAGACAGTAAGGCAGAGAGATGCATACACCCACACGCATTTACACAAAAAGAAAAAAATTAAGAGCTGTCCCTGGTCTTCCTCTTCCCACACGTGTGTTTGCATGAGTGTAATCGTAGTTGATGAAGATATAATGAAAGTGAAGCAAAAAGTTTCCATGTCTGGGCATCTGTTCAACGTCCATCCTCGTTTTATGTTCACCTTGGTTCTGTATCTCTGCCTCTTATTTTTCTTTCTTGTTTTCCTTTTTTTATTTCTTTTTTATTTGTTTGGTTTATTCTCTGCTTTATTCTTTTCTCTTTCCTTATTTTGTTTTCGGTTTTATTTCTTGCGTTATGTGCATTTTCTGTTTTTTTTCTCTCTCTCGTTAGTCATCCTCTTCTCTTTCATTTTTTTTTTTTTAATTCTTTGTTATGCCTCCCTGTGTTGTTTGTATGTGTGTTTCTGTATGTTTGTGTCTGTCTGTCTGTGTGGGTGTGCGAGCGTATGTGCGTGTGTATATATATATATTCATATATGTAAAACGTACGTAATTGTATTTTCCCATTTTTCTTTTCGAAATACAACACCCTTTTACAGAGAAATGTCCCTCCGATGCAAAATGTATTAACGTAACGAACTTACATGTTATTTTGCCCTGGAATGCTATGAGGTGCTGAGATGCCCAAGTCTCCTGGTCTTCTTAGCACGGACGGTCCGACTTGTCTGGGTATCACCTCAATTAACGGGTACTGACGGTGAAAACAGCTACTTCGTTGAATTGATGGATGTACATTTGTACGTCCTATTGAAGTTTCGAATATGTGTGCGTGTCTTGAAAGCTACAAATACGTTTAGGTTATCTTATTTCACAGTTTATTTTTTTGTGTGTGGAAGAGATGGAAGGGAGAAAGAGAGGGAGGTAGGGAAAGAGAGAGAGAGAGAGGTGGGGGGAGGGAGAGGATGGAGGGAAGTAAGGAGGGGGGGAGGGAGGTATAACTTTTTTCCGAGAGAGGGTAAGGCTTGATACTGAATAAGTCATACTTAATTTTAATCTTTCCATACATACAGACATCCCTTGTTGAAAGTACAAAAAAGACCATACATATGAGTGAGGTAGATTTCAGCCAAGAAGTATTTTTTATTTCTTTATCTTTCGCTCTATCTACTTGTGTCGTAGCGTGTTGATAGAACAATTACAGATTGATTTTAATTTATTAAGTTTTAAAAAAATAATAAGAAAAAATCAAAATAAAATATATCGAATTTACGTCACTTGGGGTCTTTATTGTTACATATGTCCGTTCTTGTACAGTCTAGTAAACTGAAACCTTTAGTTCTCTTTCTCACATGTATTTAAACCTCTCTTGAGTTCAAGATTGTCAGGTTCCTCAGACGAGACTGGCATATACCTGTGTTGGTTCCAGTGGTGGATCCAGGTCATAAGGGGTCGTCCTGTGCCCACTTTCTCAGCGTCCTTGAAAGTCTGGGGAAGTGGTAGGCCGATAGTCTCTGGGAGGAACAGACCTAGGAAGGCACCGAGTAACATGAACGATGCGAGGAGCCAGTAAGGAAAAGAGTCGCCATAGCCCGACTGGGGGAAAAACGTTTACCATAAGAATAGGGGATTTTGTTTCTTTTTTTACGAATAAGGAACTACTATTAGAATTATTCGTATCACAATTCATATTCATATCACGAGTCCTATTACCGAAAAATATCCTATAAAATATACCAGGTTTATCATCTAGTAACCATTACAACTACAGTACTACCTAACACGCAAAATACATACATGAAGAATATATGGGGTTGCTATCATGGCTGCCATTCCACACACCACCATCCAAGCGAACCCAGTGGACCTGATCGGCGTGGGAAAGATCTCTCCACTCTGAATCGTCACGATGTATATAAGCAGTGTGGAGAAGAGCCTGATGCATGCAGCTACGGCCAGCATCGCCCACTTGTCTGAAGAAGGAAAGTAAACAGAGAAAATGTTAGCGATGCGTTATAGATGGAACTCAGGGTTAAAAAACAGTGGAAATCCCTAAAAAGTATATACAATGTATATATATATATATATATATATATGTATATATATATTATATTATATATGTGCGTGTGCAAGAATTAAAAACATATGTGCTGTGGTATATCCCACTTAGCGGGAAGGGGGGGCGGGAGGTAAGTGG